AACATATTATTATTTGATCACTGTTTCTTTCTTTGCAAAGGTGCTTTCCCCATGTGCCAGGGGCAATGATGCAAAGCCTTTGGAATGTGGTTCTGATCTTCTTTTACTGCAAAACCAGAGCCAGTATAGTTGACCCATCTGTTGGGGAAGGAGAAGGAGAGTATCTGTTTGGAAATGGAAGCTATTTACCAGCTAGTAAAACAGTGAGACTAATCAGAACCGCAAGGAGTCAAGTCGGTTCATTTGCAAACAGAGCGGTCTATGCCTCTATCACTGCAGGCATCAGTGACACTGCATTCAATGACTGTAAGTAACCAGCATGGCATATTACCATTGTATACACTGCCCTAACTGCCAGAAATAAACTCTTCCATCAGAAATATTGAATGAAAACAGGGATATGGCATTGCTTTTGCAGTTATTCTCTTTGATGTTTCTTCCCTCTGTCACCTAAACTCCCATTTCAAGCAGGGACTGGGAACCTCAGTCCTGTGGGCCGAATGCAGCCCTCTGCCTGGCCCTTAGAACCCTCCCAGGCCACCCCCCTCACTGGTCCTATTTTGTTCAGCCTGGAATGTTTCCTTGAATTCTGATGGAGGATGGAGGATAGAGATGGGGTATGTTAGTGTGCAGAAATGATGTTAGCTGCACAAAGATTTAAAAAAATTCATTATTGCTCTGCTCACCTTTACCTTTTCACCCAATGCTGATGTATGGACCTTGGAAGCGGACCCAGAAGGGAATGCATATTAAGTATAATTGTTTAATGCACATTAAAATGAAAAATAACTCTTGTGATGTGTCTGTATGCATGCATGGCATGGAAATTTCCACTGAAGCTAAATTGGAGCTGAGTAGAGAGACTAACAGTTGATCATTAAGTGAGGCTGTATCTCTGCTGGGTCAGTCACAAAGTGTTCAACCACATGAAAAGTATACTGTTACAAGTCTATGCGTATGCTAATTTGTAGAGCTCCATCTTGGGTGGAGCAAGTCTTTGTTCTGAAACTGCTGAGGAGAATGTTGCTAATCGCTTTCCAGGAAAACAGCCTCAGGCTAATGGAGGCTGTCTGGAGGAGAGGCAGAGCTTTGATTTTTAGCTCTGGATGAAAGAGGTATTTTACCTATGCTGGGATTAGCAAATGATATTATGCAACTATTTGAATGTAACTTTGTTGTTTTAAGTTTTTCTGGAGTTACGTTCTGTAAGTAAGGCCTTTGAACCATATTTTTGGACTGGGGAATTTTTATTTCAAAGAAGAGCAAGTTTTTATTTATCCAATTTGCTTCCGTATGCACAATATTAATAACCTCAATAATGCAGCCCTCAGGCTGAGAAAGGTTCCCCATTCCTGATTTAAGGCTCCCTCTTGCAGAAGGTGGGACGCAAGTGGCGCTGTGGGTAAAAGCCTCAGTGCCTAGGGCTTGCCGATCAAAAGGTCGGCGGTTCGAATCCCCACGGCGGGGTGCGCTCCCGTTGTTCGGTCCCAGCGCCTGCCAACCTAGCAGTTCGAAAGCACTCCCGGGTGCAAGTAGATAAATAGGTACCGCTTACTAGCGGGAAGGTAAACGGCGTTTCCGTGTGCGGCGCTGGCTCGCCAGAGCAGCGATGTCATGCTGGCCACGTGACCCGGAAGTGTCTCCGGACAGCGCTGGCCCCCGGCCTCTTGAGTGAGATGGGCGCACAACCCTAGAGTCTGTCAAGACTGGCCCGTACGGGCAGGGGTACCTTTACCTTTTACCTTGCAGAAGGTGAGTGTTTATTTAATGATCAAAACATGCAAATTGTCTTTCTGGATTGGACCATAGAATCATAGAATCATAGAATCATAGAGTTGGAAGAGACCACAAGGGCCATCGAGTCCAACCCCCTGCCAAGCAGGAAACACCATCAGAGCACTCCTGACATATGGTTGTCAAGCCTCTGCTTAAAGACCTCCAAAGAAGGAGACTCCACCACACTCCTTGGCAGCAAATTCCACTGTCGAACAGCTCTTACTGTCAGGAAGTTCTTCCTAATGTTTAGGTGGAATCTTCTTTCTTGTAGTTTGGATCCAGGTAGACTACATCCACTGCGTTCCCTTCATCTACCAGGCTTGTAATTCTGTCAAAAAACAAGATCAGGTTAGTCTGACATGACCAGGTATTCATTTTATCTAGCATTCTGCTGCAAATGGTGGCCAGTCAAATGGGCCTCTGGGTGTCCATAAGCAGAAGATGAAGGTAATAAGACTTCCTTTGCTGCTATTTTCCTAAACATCTGGTGGTTTCACAGGTTATTCTGGATCCCTGAAATACGGCATCAATAATCACAAGCCATCCCCCCACCCCAATGCTAGGAGCCCTGCTCAGGTCAAGAAAACAACAACAGCTGACCTTCTCTTGCAATTTAAAAGTTTGTGGTTGAATCAAGCATTTACAAGCAGAAGAGATAACATCGTGTACAAAAGTTCCCCCCTTCCCACTTTATCTCCCTGCTTTGCAAAGATTCTCTATTTATCATAAAGTAATAGATGCCTTAAATCATGGTCAGCCTTTTCTCTGGGAATTTGTCAGGTTATTTAACTGTGATGGATCATTGTGATACCCCAGCCCTTGAATTTTGTGACCTTCTGTGTTCTCTAACCCCCTTAAAGCTGGTTTGTGAAGAAGTCAGTGTACCACCTCCCACTTTCAGATATACAAGGCTTACTGTCGGAGGTGATCAAGCAACTGCTGCCACTGGACATAACAAACTCACTGCCGAAGACAATCAAAGATGTAAGTGAGCTCTTAAAAGGCAGAGAAGATACAAAATTGACTGGAAGCTTGAGAAACAAGGCTGATGAAACAGAGATGCTCAAAGTGATACAAAGTATAACACAGTAAGTATATCACTGTTGAAGACAGCTCTCATCATGAGTGGCATGCCTAGACCAGGGCAGTATCTTTGCAGATGTTGGTTTATAGGCTATGCTCCACCTTCAAAGCCTTTTTTAAAATATTCAAATCCCCCAACAATAGGGGTGGGTTACCTGTGGCCCACCAGATGTTATTGGATTCCAGTTCCCATCAGTCCCAGCCATTGTGGTCAATGGTCAGGGATGATAGGAGCTGTAGTCTGGCAACATCTGGAGGGCTGCAGGTTTTCCAGACCTGCTCTAGAGCAATGCACCATGGGATAGAATATTTGCCTGATGCAATGTCGTCTAACCTCCCTGCAAACCAATCAAAATGGATGCTCAATAAATAGCCAACATTGTCTTATCTACCCACCCACCAACAAATTAGGATAAATAGATTATCTGGAAGCAACATCGTCTTTGCTTTAGACAAGGGGTACCAAGGCACCTCCCCCCTCCCAAGACCTATATTTACAAGAAAGCTAGTTACAGATGAAGGTGGTTGCTAGACGCAACAATGGGTCATTGATTGTCTTTCAGTCTGGTAAGGAATCAAGTGATTCTTTCCTTACTATTCAGTTCTCACCAGAAGTCTGCTTTGGGGAGGAGAGATTGAAGTAAAAGACCTGCTTGACTGTCTCTTCTCAATACACTCCCTGCTTTTTTCAGCTTGGCCATTACAAAAATTACAATTCTTCCAACTTTGATGATGTTTTCATCTGGTGACAAGGTCCACCTTTCCCTTCCAGTTGAAATTTCCATTAAAGGTGAAAGGTAAGTGTCCAAAAAGATGGGGCTGACAGCCAGTAGAGCACCAAACACACTTTTCCATTTCTAACAGTTGGCTTGAGCTGCAAAACAGCACAGGCAGAAGTTGGATAAGACTTCCAATCTCCATAGATACCCTTTCATGAAGTTACACTGTGGCTGATGTCAAGAGGAATCTTGCCTGAACCTTGGCAATAGGAAGTCAAAGAGCCCCAGTGTCACCTGTGCTCATTTCCATCCACAATATGTACTATTGTGCCCTGATGTCAGTTGACGTTTCTGAACAAATGTTCATCCCAAGATAAATATTCAAAAATGTTTAATAGAATTATGGAGTTTCAAGTGGCCTTACTGGTCATCTACTCCAATCCTCCGCTTTATATGGGGTATGCAATGCATGACACAACTACTAGAGCATCCCTGACAGATCACCCAGCCTCTGATTTAAAAGCACCAGTGAAGATGAAGGGGACTTACTCTCTGGCAAATGTGCTTAGGGTTGCAGGGTATGATATAAAAATGGGCTAATCCCGGTGAAATGGCTGGTTACCACTGTTTAATATGCTTTAGAGGGCAAATGAATTGTCCATAGGGATGATTATTCTCTGTGAATTCCTATGCAGAATGTGATCAGAACCAATGTGCATTGGTTCTAAGTCTTAACAGACTTAGTTTTATGTTGCTGGGTTTTTTAAATGAAGTTGGAGATGTTACGTTTGCTGGAAATTTTAATTTAAATGAAGTTGGAAATGTTACATTTGCTGGAAATTTTATGTAAAAATTCTGATTATGTGTTGGGATTAAATTTGTGGGTTGCTTTGATTTTTATTGTTTGATTTTTGATTTGGAGAAGTAGGTCTATTTTTGAAGACAATAAAATAGTTGTCCAGCACATTTTGCACTTCTCCAAATAATGTGACATAGTTTCTCATCAAAATACACATTTAAAGGCTAATCTTTTAGATAAATTAAGTGTTTTGCATACATACTTTGAGAGAAAATGCACATTTCAATATATACTTTGAAATGATTTAAATTAATAATAATAATAAATTCATATAAGTGCAGAGATGGAACAGAATTATGGTTAAAACGATAAAATGACAGAGACCAGAACTATAATCTGTTAATTCTTAATGTCTATAGTCTTGGCTCTAACTCAAATCTGATTACATTGGGAATTTCTTTGAAATAAAATTCTAAAGAACAAGAATATTATTAACACAACTGAATGGTGATGGCTTTCATAGGAATGCAGATGCAGTCATTAAGAATTGTTGTTCTGCCAACATCCCGAGCCCTTGTAAAAAAAGAGAAAAATAGTTTATTTGCTTTTCCTTGGAGTTTAGCACCAAGAGTGGTGTCTTCAGTTCTGACGTGAAAGTCAAGATTGATGTTGTATCCAAACTACTCTGGGATTCTTCCAAGAATCAGATATTCATCATTGAAGCTTCAAGGATCTTTATCAACGATATTCAAGTCAAACAGCAGAAGAGGTGAGTGGGGAAGATAATTCATATCCTGGTAACTGAAGAAGGTCATGAGCAGAGAAGGATACATCTCAAATACAAATATGAGATAAAACTAAAGAGTAGAAATAAATAGCTGGCTCAGGTCTTGTTGTTAGTGCCATTTTTCTGGGTTAAGCAGATAAGTTTCAGTCTAGATTTTAAATGCAACTGTCTCTGTTGGATTGTCCCATGAGTCTAACCCAAGTGAAGAATAATGGCAAAAACTGCAGCAATTTTGATAATAATAAAATCTGATTGAACTTTTTGGCAATATTTTGGGCTGCAACCTAATTATATTCCGCAACCTTGCTAATTTGCTGTCAAACAGGCATTTTGTCTTCAGTTGTGGGTTTCTGCATGTGTAACTTGAAGACCATCAGGCCTCTTCCAAAGACTGAAGTTAAAATTATTTTTCAGTGTTTGGACGTGTGGAACACACCCAACCATTTGCCAGCAGCATATATTCTCTAACTTTTTCATGTTCTTCCTTTATATCTGTATTCCTGTTTTACAGGCAACCTAGGTTTAAGCTTTAGAATGTGAGATAAGAATTGCAAAGCAACAGGAATACTGAAATTTCTACATGCTTATAATTGATCCTTATAATCAGTGATGTCAATAATTCCTTTTGCACAGTGTGGCTGGACCAGATGAGAACAACATGCAATCTGTGGTCTGGACAATTTTGATTGATGTGGTAAGCTGGCCAACTATGTACATTGTTTTCACGAATATATGTGTTTTTGTGCTCAGTTTCCCCTGAAATAATGCATCTTTGTACCCAATTTTTTGTTGGAGAACTGCATCATGAAATTTGGTGTAAATTTCAAAAGACAGCTGTCTTTATGTTTGCATATTGGTTTGAGAAATGTGAATTATGTAGGCTCACGTGAACCACAAGAGTTTCTTCCCTATCAAGAGCGTGCAACTCACAGTGGAATAAAGTTGACAAAGTTCTCCAGCACTACATTTTCTCTATTTGGGGACAAAAGTGTGTCTCCCTTGCTTTGGGTTTACTATTACAGGATACACACAGAAATTTCTGTGTCACAAACACATAGGGCATTTGGATCCTGATTTGTCTGCAGGGAGATTAGATGACCTTGACTATTTAAGGAGCATTTGTTGCTATTTGTTTGTGGAGAGGCTAGACAATGCTGTGTCAAAGCAAGTGTTATCTCACATTTTCCATTGCATTTCCCCATCACTTTCCTTCTTGCAAAAAGTCCAATGTTTGGGGGAAAGTGGGGTTGTTGTGCAAAACCTCCTGTTCAGCTATAATTGTGCAACCTGGATTTGCTAGTATGTGATTGAATCCCACCCAAAAATTGCTACGGCCTAGAAGTGTCTGCAGGTATTCAGCCCTGATCTGAGTGAAATTCAGAAATTCCATAAGAAATTCCTAGGATAGCTAATTCATTGTGCAGTTCTATACCAAAATATGCATTTTACATGATTCTTAAAGAAGTCTCTCAGCACCTTGTTTCAGGAGGACTTGGTAACAGTCCTTTCCATTCCAAATTATTCTCTTCCTGACTTTGTGTGTTTGATTCTTTACTGTGTGCTCTGGTATCTGAAGAAGTGTGCATGCACATGAAAGCTCATACCAATAACAAACTTAGTTGGTCTCTAAGGTGCTACTGGAAGGAATTTTTTTATTATGCGCTCTGCATTCACTCTTTTTTACAGATCCGTCACTGCATCCGATTGGTGGCTGACATCCTTAATGTGTCACTTCTGAGTACACTGGCTTGTAAGTTGCTGATGACATCCTCTTTTCCCAGCCACCTTTGCTTCTGCTGGGGAGACTTTGTGGAACAGCCTAGCAGAGGCTAACAGATAACCTTGTTCGGAAACAGAAGATAAGAAATCAGCTGGTAACTCTCCAAGCGTTCTATGCCCTAAATTAGGTATGGTTATCTCACAGTGATTCTCCATGGTTTTATTAAGTCAATCCATCAATGGAAGTGGTCTGTATTCAGGGACACCTATCTGGTCCCAGGAATTACTGCCAATTAACTCATTGAGCATCATAAGCAACAATTGCCCTTGTCTGATATCCTGCCCTATTTCTAAGGCTTGAGGCAAATGGTTGAACTGGATGTACCGTACTTTTACAATTACAATTTAAAGGAGCAGCTTGAAAGAAGTGGCTCAGGTCCCAATAGCCATATGCTCTTTCATGGCTTTTGCATGTGATTCAACAATCTCTTTGTATTTCTCTGCAGCTGCAGTTCCTGTTGGAACATTTGGGACCATCCATTATCATCTAATAGGTTCCCCTAAAGTAAACGATAGGTATTTCCTGATTCCTTATCAGGCAAGTATTATTTTTGGCTTTGGAGAACAGGTTGCGTTATGAAATTCTGACTAATCCCCATATCTATAACCTCTTTTCTTGCCTCGTGATTGTGGCAATGGAAGTCAGGCGTAGATGTAGTTGTGGTATGGCTTTCTGCTGCTGCTCCTGTTTTATTTCTCAAGACCTGCCTTTATAAGAAGAAGCACATGACACAGCTCTCTTGGGAAGGTACCATTTCAGGATATGTGGGGGGAGCGGAATTGCATGACCCAACACCAGAAATTCCTAACACAAAGAAAACTAGTAGGTTGAGGGGAAAGGTAAACAAGAGGGAGAGAATGTGTGTGTGTATTGGGTGAGAGGATAATCAGCCCAGCCTTAGGCAAAACTCCCCACCTGGGTCCATGGCCTTAAGTCTAATGACATCTGTAGGACTAAAGAGCGCAGAACTTGACTGAGGGTTAGAGTGTTGGTTTTATTTCTGTAGTTCTGTATTTTCCTTACCCATCCTTCTCCACAAGATCCCAGGGTGGGATAAAGCAAGAAAATATACAATCAAAACACAAATGAAACAGTTGTGATCTTAAAACATTTAAAGATAATTCCACGTGTAAAAATAGTTCCAATACAGATGGGGATTGGGACAAGATCTCCACTTAAAAGTCTTCCCAAAAGAGGAAGGTCTTCATTAGGTCCCCAAATGATAACAGATGGGGTCTGTCTAATATGTAACAGGAGGGGAAACCAGCATGCTGAAGTCCTGATTCCTGCAGAATCCTGAAGTTATCTGCAGGAGACCCTCTTCTGCAGAGCGCAGTGGTTGGTTGTGGATAAGAGGATAAACTGGGTTTTTGATATACAAGATTCTCAAACCAGCAAGCAGAGTTCCTGCAAACAATTGGGAAGGAACCTTTAGGTTGACTTACTCTCTTTAAAGGATTAACAAAGATGTCCTGCATTTCCCCCTTGGATCTCCCACCAGGCTACATTTCAGGTTTCTCTGCCGGGAAGCCCACCCAGCACCACACTTTTCCAAGCAACTCCACAGTCTGGCACCAACTTCCACTTGACTCTGAGCAAGGATTTCATCAGCATTGGGATTGCTGCCCTGACTGGAGGCTGCAGTGCCAACCTTACCAAAGGAGCAGGGGTAAAGTGACCATAACTTTTGGGTTTCCGTGCTTCTATATGACAGTGTTGGTCTATACATTTTGTGGCTGTAGACAAAATGTTGCCAAAATGATCTACTCTTAGCCATACATGTGCACCTGTGAGCCCTTGCAACTCCACTCCCCACACCAGTGATTCCATATTTTAGGAGCAGTATGGGGAGTAACAACAGGAGATGGATTCATATCTTGCTCATGGGCATCTGTTTGGCTGCTGTAGAAAGAGGATTTGCTCTAATCAGCCAGCAAGTCTATTATGTTCTTGTTCCCCTTTCTCCCTTTACCTCTCTTATGCCCCTCCCCCATCCTCTGATGGATCCATTGACTTTCTCATGAAAAGTGCCCCTTTTCATTCTAGAATCTGTTCTTTACCAAGGGTTGATAATTTTTTTCACTGGCCTCTGTGGCTGTGCTTTTAACAGTAGCTTAGTGTACAGAAACACTAGGCAAAGCTTTTATCAACCTAGAGATAACTATTTAACAGCTAATTTCTGTAGATTAAGCTGTTGCCCAAGAGAAAAATGGGCAACCCTATCTCCATTACTTGCGCTTGCTTAAAGCTAGGTAGGGATGGTTGACTCTGTCTTTTTTGGCTTCTCTTGAGTTCTCATTTTTCCAGTCTTAAATTCAGTTTATGACATTTCTGCAGCTATTTGCAGCATATATATATATACTTTCTGAAAATTCACCAGCATTTTACTGCTAATTTCTGCTAATGAACCCAGTTTGCACCAGAGAAATACTTTCATTACAAGCTTGTTTCCAGCAATTGCTTTGATTATGTTCTCCCTCCATCATTTAAAAGCCTCATGCAAAGCTTACAGCTAACACTAAGAAGAACACTTCAGGGAGATAGGAAACAGCAGCAAGCCCAAACAATGGAACAGTAGCTACAAAATCTATATTATGGTAGAGGTGGGGGACCTATGGTCCTCCAGATGTTGCTGGACTATATTGTCAGCTTCGCCTTTGAGCCAGTGCTACCGACTGGGCTCAACCATTTCAGCCCCGACTGGGCCAGGCAAGCTGGGGTAGCACTTCCAGAGACCTTCTTCTGCAGGAACAGGTCTAAGTGCTGTGGACTCACAACTCAGAGCTGTGAGCACCGAACTCACTTCCAGAAGACAGTTGTGCACAGCAGAGTACAGCAGAGCATAAATCACTCGGACGACAGCGCTGAAGAATATCTTCTTTTATTCAGTTACAGATAGGTAGCCGTGTTGGTCTGCCATAGTCAAAACAAAAAAATTCCTTCCAGTAGCACCTTAAAGACCAACTAAGTTAGTTCTTGGTATGAGCTTTCGTGTGCATGCACACTTCTTCAGATACACTGAAACAGAAGTTGCCAGATCCTTCTATATAGTGAGAAGGTGGGGAGGGGTATTACTCAGAAGGGTGGTGGGAATGGGTGATTGGCAGATAGCTGAGATGAGCCTGTTGACGACTCTTAACGACTGCAATAGGTCTTACAGGAAAAAGCAAGGGGTGAGAAGGTGAAAAATGGCTTTGTCATGTATAATGAGATAAGAATCCAATGTCTTTGTTCAGACCAGGTCTCTCCATGGTTTTAAGTTTGGTAATGAGTTGTAATTCAGCAGCTTCTCTTTCCAGTCTATTTCTGAAATTCCTTTGTAGTAAAACAGCTACTTTGAGATCTTGTATAGAATGTCCTGGGAGATTGAAGTGTTCTCCTACTGGTTTCTCTGTCTTGTGATTCTTGATGTCAGATTTGTGTCCGTTTATTCTTTGGCGTAAGGTTTGGCCTGTTTGTCCAATATAGAGAGCTGAAGGACACTGTTGGCATTTGATGGCATACACAATGTTAGACAATGAGCAATTAAACAGTCCCAAGATGGTATGTGTGATGTTGTTGGGGCCAGTAATGGTGTTGTCCGGATGTATGTGGCAGCAAAGTTGGCATCTGGGTTTATTGCCTGAGTAATACCCCTCCCCACCTTCTCACTATATAGAAGGATCTGGCAACTTCTGTTTCAGTGTATCTGAAGAAGTGTGCATGCACACGAAAGCTCATACCAAGAACTAACTTAGTTGGTCTTTAAGGTGCTACTGGAAGGAATTTTTTTGTTTTTTCTTTTATTCACTACAGCTACTGTACTATGCAAACTATATACAAATGGAGACGCTGGACTGCACTGAGTGTTACAGCTGCTTTCTGCAGCGACCTTATCTACACAGAGATAACATTCAGTCTCCCCCTTTGAAGTGAGGCTGGAGCGGAATAAGTAGCAAGCACAATCCGCCCCCTCCTCTCTGGAAAATCAGCAGATTCTTGCAATGGGAGGGGTGAAATCTCCTCATATATTGCCCATCATCCTTGACGGTTGGCCATGCTGGATGGGGCTGATAGGAGCTGGAGTGCAACAACAGCTGAAGGGCCACCAGCTCCCCTGCTGTAGAGGACTGTTCCAAGGTTATCCTTGATAGATTTAGGGCAGGATGACTGGACATTTCCTGGTTTTGAGGATTACTTCTATTTCTAGAACAGCGTAGCCTCATAGAACATAAAAGGTCATCCTCAATCCAGAGGATGCATAATTGGCTGTGCATCTCCTTCCTTCTATTGTAATTTCACCAGATCATTTTCAAGCACACTTTCTCTAAAAATAGCATGATGAATGGAAATGGTTTGCTCCTCATCCCCTGTCCTATCACTGATTGTCCCTAATTAGCTTTCTGCTTCCTGGCTTCTCCCTCTGAAACAGGACTGTCTTGTTAAGGAAGTAATATTGTTTCTGTGGTCACTTTGAACATATGTCTTGCAATGTCCCTTATTCCTGCCCTCATCTTTCATAATCAGATGCTTCTCCTTCTCCTTGCCTTTGCACACACCTTTCATCTTGTTTGAGAGAGGGAGATTGCTTCTCCCTATGCTTTGTGGATGAAGTTTAGTGCCAGGCTTATCAAAAAATGTATGAAGTAGGAAAATCCTGATTGTTCCAGCAAGTCTCCTCGACAATGGACTCCTAGAACCCATGACAACCAGGCAAAACAAAACAAACCCCCCAAAAACAAATTGTGCTTGGACACAGACAGCAGCTGATGACCACTGAAGCCAGTGGGGCAAAGGACAGAGCAGAGGGCAAGGCAACTAACAGCAGGTAGAGTTAGTGGTAAGTGGAGCCAGAGGTCCCAGTAGGAAGAGCACGCTTGACACAGAGAGAAAACACTCAGAATTGAAGCAGTGGGACAGGGAAAGAAAAGATGAGGCTAGAGGTTAGGTGGGGGAGAAAGAGGTTAAGGGTTGGGTGCTCTTGGAAACAGGAGAAAGAGAGAGAGAGATTAAGTAGCAGGAGGGGGCAGAAAGAGCAAGGCCCAAGAGGTGGAAGACAGACCAATGCAAGGGGCTGGGAGAGAGGAGAAAGAGAGAGTAAGGGGAGGTGGGAGCTTTTCTGTGCTGCCCTGCAAGAAATGAAGTCCTTTTCACACAGCACAACACAGAAGCCAAACTCTCTTGCCAGGGTTCCTTGTCCCTGCTTTAAAGCAAAGCAACACAGTGTCCCATCCCGCCTCCAAAGTGGTGTGTTAGCTCATATTGGAGTTATTTGGTTCCAACTACCTATGCAAGCCCTTTTTGTATGCAGAGTAAGGCAACGTGAAAGGAGAGAGGAAGAGAGACAGAGTGAATGGTTCTAACATGGGAGAAGGGAAGAGTGGGCTCAAGCTGCTGTTGGCGGGTGGCCTTTTTGATTTCTCCTATTGGCCTGCTAGCCCTGAATGAGAGTGTTTCAGAAATTAATTAGAGATATCCAAAACTGATTCACTTTACTATTCCCTTTATCAACAGAAACAACTCATGACAACTGACTTGGCAAGTGCAATTACAAAGGTTAGTGTGTTTTCTTTTTATACTCCTCTGGCAACAGGCCATTCAAATCAAGCACTTGATCTTCTCCTTATATGTGTGCATCTTTTAAAGATATACTGTGAGTCATTAAGGCTGCAGTCCCATGACAGAAAGCTCCATTGAACTCAGTGAGGCTTACTTCTGAGATGACATGCATAGGATTGCCCGCTTACGCAGCACAGGACATAACTAAGCCATTCAACCCAAAGTTTGCTTGCTTAAAAAAAGAAGTGCTTTATTCAAATTTGCATGAATAGAGTCAGCAGGCAATCACTGTTGTTGCATACAAAGTCTAACTAATTAGCTGCCTAGATGCACTGATATGCTTGCCTAAGTATTAGAATCTTATATGCTTATTAAGCTTGGAATCTGCTGAATATATATTTGCATTAAAAGCTCTTTTGGTAGCACAACCTGAACACAGTGTCTGCATTCTAAATCTCATTGTCTCATGAGACCATCCTTTAGGATAATAGCCCTGGAAATTGTGTCTTGTCCTAATGGGAACGAAGGTCTGTAGAAGTAGCAGCCACACACAGATACTAGAAGCTCATGACACCTTGCCTTCTCTTGCAGATTTCTGAGCGCTTCCCTGCTCCTCAACCTTTGGTGGTAAAGATAAGAGGCTCAAATTTTCCACTCATTTCCATAGACAGCCAGAGTGTTGTGGTGAAACAGCCTCTTGTCTCTGATGTGTTTGTACGTGGTCAGTCTGTCCTGCAGTGGGAAGTTGTGAGTATTGAAGCAAAACACCTGCATGACCTCCGTTTTATTTATTTATCTAAAAAAGCTCTCCCCTTCATCAAAAGCAGAGATAGGAACCTGGGCCTTTCAGATGTTGACTGGCCACAACTCCAACAACCTCTGTCTATTGGCCATGCTGATGAGAGTTGGGAGTCAAACAGCAATTGGAGAGCCACAGGTTCCCAATCTCTGATCAAAAGATTCCAGGAGCAGTGTAAACCAATAAATACCGCATGGCATTTGGTTGGCCACTGTGAGAACAGGATGCTGGACTTGATGAGCCATTGATCTGATCCATCAGGCTCTTCTTATGTTCCTAAATAAACTTTACAAAATGCAGGGGGGGAAACAAGAATTGCACAGCACATTGGCCACGGTACACTAATTATATTCTGCCAATGGCCAAGTTCATCTCAACTAACCCTCCCTTATACACGCAAGATTCATACACATGCCCCCATAGAGTAAATGCAAACTTGTCAGATTATCCTAGCCAGATTTTCACTGACAAAGCAATGGCCAATTCCTGTTGAACAGAATAGAAAATAATAATAATAATAATAATAATAATAATAATAATAATAATAATAATAATAATAATAATAATAATAATATATTACTTATACCCCACCCAATCTGGGTGGCTTCTAACAGAAAATAAAAAACATAATGAAATGTCAGGCATTAAAACTTCATGATACAGGGCTGCCTTCAGATATCTTCGGAAAGTCATATAATTGTTTATCTCTTTGAAACAGTTCACTCATAATAGGATGCTCTTGTGTTGTATGTCACTTGATGTATGTAGAAATGAATGATGTTCCCTATGCAGCCAGAGTAAATTAACAGTGTCTTTTACAAATAATAAGAAGAAAGAAATAGAAAAGGGGTGTGGGGTGCGCTATAATCCATGCATGTATACATGCAACTCCCAGCAGTTTCTTGGTCTCCTCCCCCATATGGCACAAACTTGTTATGTGATCTACAACAAACAGAACAGCAATAACAACAAAGCTAAGACTTTCTAGAGAGGTAGCATTTGCTGTGCTGGTCTAGGTTCCACAATTTAATACATATATTATGGCATTAGGTTTACATCTGATGAAGTAGACGCTAGTCTGTGGTGCCATAATAAATGTTAGCCCTTAAGATGCCACAACACCTTTTTTAAAAAGAGTTATGACTGTAATTGAGGCTGTGATACATATTTTTGTTCTTGTTGCAGGTCATCATCTTCAATGCAAAGCTCTCAGCTTCTAATGGCAAACTGTTAATCTCTTTGTCACAAAAGAGGTATGGGTATTTTTCTTACTGGGTTTGTTTTCAGGTAGTAGTGAGAGATTGTGAGCAGCTAGTAGAAATAAGGAATACAACCATGGCACACTGGTTGAAAACCACTGCTGTAGAGAGTCATGGCTTGCATCCCTCCCCCTAATCTGATTGCTTTCTTTCCCTGTAGCTTTGATGGTGTTCAGGCATCCTCATCTGTTGGTTCTACCAATGTAAGTCTTCTCTTCAAGGCCTGAAATATGCCACAGGCACATCAATCTATTTTGCATGAAACAATAGGGTGTGCTGTATAGCATGAGCCTTCAATCCACAACCTGATCCAAGAGGGTTGAGGATATTGACTGCGTGTTTTATAGCCAGATACTCTAGGAGGAGGTAAAGCTCTCTCTACTCCAAGTGTATCTTTGCTTTCATGTGTTCTTGTTCCGCGCATTCTGTACAAATTTATCTACCTGGCTTAGGTACAGCTTTGTGGTTTGGCATCTGAGAATGAAAGCTGAATACACCCTAGCCACCAGCAAATGGGTTATTAATGGATTATGTGAAAAGCTTCCTGATGAAGCTGTCTGTGCATGGATTTCAGTAGATCACTTGAATCCACTTTTATTATAGTCCTTAAAAGACAACCCAATACTTTAAAAAAGTATTATAGTACATGTGGTGGATATATATGGATTTAAAATGTGTACTAAATGTGGGACTCAGGCCTGTCTATGATTCTACTGAAAGAATGTCCTATATTCCAGGCCCAGAAGCTCCATGAGTACATCAACAACCTTCATACAAACAGCTTCCTACCAGCCATGAATGGTAAGCCAGGCAGCTGTTTCACAGAAAACGGAGGGCTTCAGCTGAGGGAACAGGAGCTAATATTTCACGAGGGGCTGCTCACCTAAGTAATGACTATGAAGGCAGGTCCATTGGCTGTTCTCTGTTCTAGGCATGCTCAGGAGAGGAATTACCTTGCCTTCCATGCTCAATGTCAAGTGGACCAAAGTCAACACTGTCCTTTTCCAGGTACAGTAAAGACACAGAACCTTATAGCAAAAGCTCATCAGTGGAAGGCTGCCATCCTTCTAGCACCACCCTGGCATTGCAATATGGACACTGTGGAGGAAGGGGGCCTATTTTCTTGTTTAGATCCAATTACTTGGTTCCCCGTGTATATTGTATTTGTCCTGCTTGGATTTCCAAGAGAAGTGGGAGCACGAAAACAAGGTCAGGCAAAGAGCAGCATCCACTAATCCTGCTGGCTAAGCTCTGAAAGGTGCTGTCTTAGGAAAGAGCTAGGCCCACCTGAGGCCTGAGGCAGGCTGGCAAGGTCTGCATTGAGGAGCTAGCTGTTCTGACTCAAAGGGTCCTCAACCAATTCTGCACTTCTACAATGTGGAAGGGATGGGATGGGATGGGATGGGATGTTATTGGGGGTTCAACCTGTGAATTGGAAGGAGGAAAAAGAGCTATGACCTTAGGTTGGGAAGGCCCATGGGAACGTACCATTGAGGGGCTCCCACTGAGTGGAGTTGCCTGTGTTTCCTCATCTGTTTCCTCCTCAAGGTAGTGCGCTGGGCTGGGTACTTCCATCTGTTATTGGAATAAAGACTGGTATCTCAAAGGAATAATTTAAACACCTATAACTTCTCTCTTCTTAGGATGGTCTAGTGATTTCAATGTGACCAATCAAATCAGCAGCACCTTGAAGAGGCAGAATGTTAAAAGAGTTCATCAAATGTTCACTTCAAACTGACTGGATTATACGTTCTAATGCTCTGGGATTTATCATATTTCAGCTGCCAAACTTCTGGGTGATGGCTGTTAATTCAGTTTGTTGTAGGTATCACATTTCTTGTATATCCTGTAATAAAGGGCTCACATGACCCTCTAAGTGTGTAACGGCTGAGAGCATCACCTCTTGGTAGGAGGGACACCAATATGCAAGAATTATAGAATTGTAGAATTGGGAGGAACCCAATGGGTTCAATCCAATCCAACCCCCTGCAGTACAGAAGTCATATCCTGACACATGATATGGTTAGTTCCTTGTCTCATCTTCTACTAGAGGCTTTTTATGGTACCTTTTAAAAAGCCAGGTGGGCAGGGTACAAAAAAGGTCATTAACCCCAAATGATGCAATAGGGATTGGCAGTACTCAGAAATACACTTTGGGCTCTGCTCATTAAAGCAACAACTTCCCAGTAGCCAGGAAAACTGCATAATATTTAAAGGTTGTGTTTATTTGAATTGTTCACCGTGATTGGAAGCTTAAATTTGGAAATAGGTTCTGTCCATAGTCCTCCTTTCCATCTATACAAGGGGTTGTCAACCTGGTCCCTACCACCTACTAGTGGATTCTAGGTGGGCGGTAAGGGGTTCTACAAGCTGAATCCTCCTTCCATCGAGCACTGGTGGGCGGTAAGGAAATTTTACCACCAAGAAAGATGCATTAGTGGGCGGTAGGCATAAAAAGGTTGACTACCCCTGATCTATACAGATTGTGGTAGGACCAAGGCTCCTCCAGCCTCTTCCTGCAAGTCTTGTTGCCACAACCACCACATCACTCATGCCTCTCCCTTCACTTCTGTGATTGCACCCAACCAAATGCAGGTTTTCTCCTGTGGTCAACAGCTCTTAACCCAGAGTGCTGTTATACCTGACCCTGACCATTGTGCTCCTGAAAGGTCCTGCTAATCTCCCTCTGGCAAGTCATGCTGAGCTGCCCAGAGCAAGGTCGCTTTCTTCCCTTATTAAGCATGCCAGGCACCTTTCCGCACAGTTCCTGTGTTGACACGATGCCCTTCTGCTACACAGATGGGGGAGATGGTGGCTGCTCGCTGCCACTCCCAGATAGAAAATCTGGCTCATCTATTATGCAGCAAACATAACAGGGCAGTTCTGCTGGAGAGATGAGGAGTGTCAGGCACACAGCAGGAAGGAACCCCGTGGCCTTTCCCCCCGCTATTGTGTCTTCCTTGACTCTGACTCAATTTCTCACTCTCCCAGCTGTGATGACCACCTGGGTAGGACCTGGCTTTGGCCCTCCTGCTCTGTGGTAGGGAAAACTGGGCTTCAAAGACACCAGGAGAATGTGTAGATTTATGCAAGTGTGGTGCCAGAAGAGTCACAAGGCAAGAGCCTTCTCAGGGATGGAAGCAGAAATGCTAAAGCTGTAGGGTGTCCATGTGTCTGACTTTACAGAGGACAGCCCTCTAAACTGAAGTGCTGTCTGTCTGGGGGTATCCTCACTTTGAAGGGTTGTCCTGTCTAACTCCATTTTAAAGATAAAGAATGATGAAAAGGAAGGACAGCAGCTTTGAAGCTTATAAACAACACAGAAGAGCAAACTGAGCTGGCACATGTTACCGGGTCACAGTCTTTCCCACTTTGGTGTGTTGTACTTCTATTTAACTCAGAGGAGCTGTTTCCCAATTTGCATCTGTGCATATAAATCACCCTATGCAATTTTTATACAGATAAATGCCCTCTTCTGCTGAATCCTTGGTGAATTCCTCTCTTTTTGGCAGTGCATCAGTCTGGGATATAAAACCCACAAATAGCAAATAATACAGATGCCAGATGTAGTGGACGGTTACATTGTTCAATATGGAAGGTTCTAGAAGACTGGATTTCAAACTGTGTCCCGAGCACTGGTGGAGGAAGAGGAGTGGGGGGGGGAGCGCACTGGCCCCGGTAGTGCGACCCCAGCAGGGTGCCATCGTGGCTGCCGCCCCGCCCCTGCCTGCTCTCCATCCCTCGGTGCCGGAGCATGAAGCTCCACTACTGGTCCCGGGGAACCTTGTTAAGAGAATCTTTGGTTTTGAGGAAATGTATCAGAAATAGCTCAATGGTGGGAAAGCACAAATTTTGGACACACTTTATTAAAAATCAGTTTGGACACCATCTCCAATTTTCTCCCATGATGTGTCAGATGGAGCAACAGTGGCCCTTTTCAGGAGTTACTTTCAATTGCTTTTTAACACATAGTATGAAGAGTGGGTTAGTGGGAATGAGCAGCCCCCTCCACTGTTATTTCAGTCACCTACTAAGAGCCAGTAGGTGGGGACCTTTTGCATCAGGGGACCTTTTGCATCCATGGAGGCTCCCCATACATTTCTGAACCCCATTGTGTCTTCACATGTTTATTGTATATACTTCTAGGGTGATTTCCATTGTATAGTTCCAGGGTGGGCTACAAAAACATCACAATTAAACTAAGTATCATTAACATACCCCATAAGTGTCCCAGAAAAACTGGGACGTTGTTTTTACCTGTGAGAGCTGGCAGCCATTTTGGGCACCGTGATCTCTTAGGGGACACTTGACTTGCGCAGGAACACGGCTGGAAAAATTCACATCCCAGTTTGGGAGGCAACATGTTGGGTCAACATGCATTAAGTCAGAAACCCATCACGTCAAAACCTAACCCATAACAAATTTAATAAAATGTCAGTACAACCATGCATGACTGACACTTGAAAGTATGGGTGTTGAGCAGGACTGAGTAGAAAGAAGCAAGGGAGACACATCTAGCTGTGATTCAGTATTAAGTGATTCAAAACAGCATCTGTAAAGTACAAGTGAAGGTAACTAAGGTTGCAATCTTAACAATGCCTATTCAAGTAAGGGTAAATGGATCTGTTGATTTTTGTTCTCTCAATTTCTCATTTTCCCAATCGTAAATTCAGTTCTCCCTATTTCTGCAACAATTTGCAATGTTTTTAATCAAAAAATCCTCATGAAAACTTTTCAGCATGTTAGTGCAAATTCCTTACAATAAATATCTGTTTTGTATGCAGTTTTGACTAATGTACATATTTTAGGAACACTTTCCCCAATACATCTATTTGTGTAAACATTGGTTGGAGACATGTACCAGAAAATTTGTAAAACGTCTGTCAGGGGTTCAGGGGCAGAGGCACAGGTGAGGGAGGAGACGGAGAGCGATGGGGAAGAATCCCAGGACAGTGAGGAAGAGGATAACAATGACTCGAGGGATTCCATGAGTCTTTCAAGTGAATCGGAGGATTCCCAGAAGGGGGCGCCTGTGGTCAGGCCAAGGGGAGTCACAGGGGGGACTCGTCAGGAGCAGGGGGCCAGCAGAGGATCCCAAAGTGGGAGCTGGGAGTCAGGACCGGCTTCCCCGCCGGAGCTCAGTGAAGGGGGTGGAGATTCCAGTGTGACAGGGGAAGCAGCTCCGTCAGCAGAGACAGGGGGAAGGTCGGAGCAAGGCATCCTCCCGGAAAGGGAGGAGAGCAGTGGGGGAAGTAGTCAAGAGGAAGGTTAGAGGTTGCGAACGCGCGCAAATGTTCAAATGTGGAGGCGCGCGGAAGAACAGGGAGTCCGGAGGAGGAGCCAGGTCCCAAAGCCCGCAGGAGGGGGCAAGAGCTGTCTGGGGATTCCGCGTCAGAGGAATCCAGGAGGGACGAAACCCCAGAGGGCAGAAGGACCCTGCGGAAAAGGAAAGACAGGAAGAGGTGGACCAGCACAAGCCTCTTAAACTGGTGTAGAGGCGGGACTGATTCAGAGGGGACTTCAGCGGTCTAAGGGTAACAGACGTGGGGCTGCGCGCCTCGGCTGTGGAAGAAACAATGTACTTCAATAAAGACTTTTGTAAATAAAGTGGACTTGGCGTTGGTCTCTTGTGAGCTGGGACCTGAGGCAGCCCTGACAACGTCTAATTTTAAAGGATGGCCATGTTTCATTTCTAATACTGTTTTGGAGATTAAAAATTTGGTCGGTTTGCCTTTAAATGTAAACTGAATCAAATTTCTCCCCCATCCTTACCCAGAAGTAAGTCCCATTGATTTATATACGGCTTGCTCCCATGTAAGTGAGATTAGGATTGCAGCTTAATTCTCATTGGTTAGTCCAGCTGTAGCAGTGGCATAAATGAGTCCTGGGGATGGGGTGAAATTCTGGTTACTGGTGTAAAGTGACAGTAATTGGAAGCAGAACCGGTGACTCCTGCTGCATCTACAAAATTATGGACCAAATCTGAGTTTCTGCATGCCTTGTTTGCATAAAATCACCTTTGAGAAATCACAGATGCTCTCTATCTTTAGGTCTCTTGTCAGTTTGTGGAAGCAGATGGGGCTTGTTGCAGCAATTTCACAAATGGAAATGTGGCCTGTTTTGATTTCCCTTGCAAAAGAAAACACCACCACCACCAGATCCCTTTTGTATGACTGATAAAAGGAGTGCTGCAGAAATAGTGGCGGGTGTTAAAACTCTGTGACTGGTGGACAGTCCTTTCCTTGACCCTGAACAGTACATTAAAGGTTCAAGAATCAACCTTATCTGATGAAGAATGGTTGCATAAATGGTAGCAACAAGCATGGTAAAATAAGACAGGTGATTGATGTTAACGTAACAGCCATTGATTTTTCTGCCCATCTTAGGACTAGACCACAAAACAGATAGTAGGTTTTCTGGGGGGGGGGGGGAATAGCCCTCAGATGATGGCCCATTTCAAACAACTACATTGATAATTCGTAGAACAACTGATATATTGTGAAGGAAGGGCAAACCATGTATCTATTCCAGTGCCAATTGAGGGGGCACGGTTTTGTAAGTTCAGTAGTCAGTATTTGAATCCTGCCATCTCTAAAGGTGCCTCTCCCCATATATCTTTAGCACAACAGGACAAGTAAAGTGCAGTCAGTCACAAAGCAATACAGCCACCTCTTTGGGCTAGTGTTATGATTTGTAAAATGAGCGCCAAGAGGACAGTGGTTGTTGAAGAGTACCGCAATAGGCAGGTGGATAAAATTGTTTCTGGACATTACAGAGCAAAGACAGTCAGTTAAAGCTGTCATGTGGGACTGCTTGAAGTTGTCTCTGCATGGCAACTGTTCCACATGATCGCTGCAAAATGTAGAGCGGTTT